TCCCTGTCTGTCTCCTCAGCCAGAGAACATCCTGTGTGTGAACACTACTGGCCACTTGGTGAAGATAATTGACTTCGGGCTAGCACGGAGGTACGCGGGGTGGGAGGGAAGGTGGGCCTGAGGGGGGGTGGGGGGAGTGGGCCCGAGATGGGGGGTGGCGAAGGGGCTGGGTGTTTCTGGTGGCAGCTGGGGACCTGAGCTCTCAATCGCTCTCCCAGGTACAACCCCAACGAAAAACTGAAGGTGAATTTTGGGACTCCGGAGTTCCTGTCGCCCGAGGTGGTGAATTATGACCAGATCTCTGACAAGACGGACATGTGGAGCCTGGGGGTGATCACCTACATGCTGTGAGCCCTGGGGGAGGTGCTGGCCCAAGTCAGCAGGGGCACAGGGATGGGTAGGAGAAGACAAGACTGACTTTGGGGTTCTGCTGGAGTGGTCTGACCCCATAGCCAGAGTGATTATTTTTTTGGGGGGGGGATTAAATGCTAGGGAGAACCAGAAGGGGGGAACTTTATACCTTTTTATATTTGGAAGAACGAAGGTTACTGAAAAGCATAGCATCCCATCCTGGGCAGACTCTGGACAGCAGATTCCCCACGCCCTGGGGTGGGGACAGAGGGACAGAGGACATCTTTTTGTGTGTGCCCACTGTGTGTTTCACACTCACCGTTCCCCATCTTCACTGCAACCCTGGGAAGCTGGGGTGACCCATGCCCATTTTACAGATGAGAAGAGTGAGGCTCAGAGAGGGGAAGTGACTTGCCCAAAGTCTCCCAGCCAGATTCAAACCCAGGTCTGTCCCACTCTGGAAGCCCGGGGTCTTTCCAGCACATGCTGTCTCCTGGGTTCTGCCCCACCCTGCCGCCTCACTCTCTTGCCCCACTCTGCTTCCCTCTAGGCTGAGTGGTCTCTCCCCATTCCTGGGAGATGATGACACAGAGACCCTAAACAATGTCCTGTCTGCGAACTGGTACTTTGATGAGGAGACCTTTGAGGCTGTGTCGGACGAGGCCAAAGATTTTGTTTCCAATCTCATCGTGAAGGACCAGAGGTGAGGCTTACCCAGGCTGGGAACCTTGTATGTTCAAGGACAGAGTGCATATCCGGGCCAAGTGGGCCTGGCACGGGCCTGCCCTCACCACACTGCCTTCTCCTCAGTGCCCGAATGAGTGCGGAACAGTGCCTGGCCCACCCCTGGCTCAACAACCTGGCAGAGAAAGCCAAACGCTGCAACCGCCGTCTGAAATCCCAGATCCTGCTTAAGAAATACCTCATGAAGAGGCGCTGGAAGGTACCAGAGCTGGGGCAGGAGGAGGAGGCCTGAGAGGTGGGAGAGCCTTGCTGCCAGGTCCAGCCCTACGTCTCTGTTGGCAGGGCCTGGCCTGGTCTGGAAAGCGTGGGCTTTTCTCTGGGTCCTGGGCTAGCTCCCACTCTGACCTGGAGTTGTTCTCCCCCCTTGCCTGCCAGGGGAGGATCATTAATGGAGGGTTCAGGCTCCAGAGAGCATCTCCGACCCCCTTCATGTCCCAAATGTTTATTGAACACCTGTTACTACTAAAGGCTCCACTGCTGCCGTGGAGACAGGAGGCAAGCATCTGGGTCTTGTGGATTTGACCTGCAGTGAAAGTAGAGTTCGCAGGAGAATGGTTGGGAGGCGGGGGGGGGGGTGGGGGGAGAGGGGTTCCACCTTTGAACAGGTAGGGCCTGGTGAGGAGGAACAGGTGAATCAAGACCTCGAGGAGATGGGGAGGGGAAGGGATCCAGGCCTGAGGAGCAGCCAGTGTGAAGCTGCATGGCGGAACCTGGATGGTGAGAGCACCAGGCAGCAGGCCGTAGGGTTGGACTCGAAAGGGAGGTCAGAGCCGAACAGGAGGCCAGCTGTAGAACAGCGGTACTGCAAACCTTGAACACAGCTCCTCTTGCTGTGGTGACCCCAGTCATAAAAATTACTTTCGTTGCTATTTCGTAACAGTAATTTTGCTACTGTTATGAATCATAATGCAAAAATCCGTGTTTTCTGATGGTCTTAGGCGACCCTTGTGAAAGGGTCATTTGACCCTCAAAGGGGTCAACAGCCACAAGTTGAGGGACTCGCGGACTGGGGTGTGGGGCCTCTTTTGTTTGCACAGTATCCTGGTTCTGTTCAGAGCTGGGTTAGGCACTGTGCATCCCCTGGCCTCTGACTCTCCTTTAATGGCGGAGGGATCTTTTAAAAGTCTTTAAAATGTTTTATTTAGCATTTATTTATTAGCAAATAAATCAATAGTGGCAGGTATATAATGGAGGGTACGGAGGCCACGCTCATGCAGTGGCCTTTGTGTGGGGGTCAGAGGACAGTTGTGGGAGTCCGTTCTCTCCTTCTACCATGTGGCTCCCAGAAACAAACTCAGGCTTGTCTGCAAGCACCTTTTTTTGTCTGCTAAGCCCTCTCTCTGGCCGGAAGGGGGGACTCTGAAGGACACTCCACTCCCAGGTTTTCTCTGTAGCAGTGCTGACCAGAATTTCTCTCTCATCCCCCAGAAAAACTTCATTGCTGTCAGCGCAGCCAATCGCTTCAAGAAGATCAGTAGCTCGGGGGCACTGATGGCTCTGGGGGTCTGAGCCCCAGGAGCAGCTAAGCCTGGACGCAGCTGCACAGTGGTCAAGGGTGAAGCCACACAGCTCAGAAGGCCAGAGAGAGCCAGCCAGATCTCTAGAGGAGGCTGGTCAGAACCAAGTTGCACCAGGCCGGGAGGCTTGAGGCTCCCCAGGCCCTTGTTCAATATCGCTTCTCCTCTGTGAACGTGGAGTGTGGCCTGGAACCCATCTTGCAACCGCCTCCTCAGACAGGGCCGTGGCCCATCAGCCCCACCCAGACTCCAAGGACGTCCAGGCCGTTTTCCCCAGTCTCTCCCTAGCTTCCTCCTTTGAACAGCTGCCCTGTAGCCTCTGCTTTGCCCCACCTGGGGCACCCTTGCCTGGAGTGGGATGGCTGGGGGTCCAGCAGGTGGGCTGCTGTGGTGGTGGATGGGAAGCTTCTAGAAGGGTAAGAATGCAGCCCAGCTGCTAGGGGAGGACAGAGTAGGCTTTGTGTGAGAGGGACCTCCATGCCCTGCCTCAGACGCCCAACAGGTCATCTGGCCTCCTGGCCCCCACCCACTGTTTTTGAGACCACCAACACACAGGAACTCTGTGAGAGAAAGCCAGCGCAGGCCTGGAGTGGTGGTGGTGGCGGTGGTGGGGAGAGGCCTGGAAGACATGAGACTATCCCCAAGTTCACCTGAAGACCGAGTCTTCCCAGCCCCGCTACTCTGTGCCCATCCCAGGGGCATTCACGGCCCCAGATGACAGGAGTGTGAAGCCGTCGGGCAGACCCCAACCTGCTCTCAGCTTGTGCCTTGTGAATAAACATACAGGTTGGAGGCTCCCTCCTTCCCTCTGCACGTGCCCATACTCGTGTGAGATTACAGATTGTGTTAATTGGGCACCTGCTACGTGCCAGTCACCAAGCTCACATATCCACGCACAGTGTGGCGTTCACAGATGCAGGCTCAGAAGCTAGGCTACCAAATGAGGAGAGAATGGGTTCAAGTGGCTTCCTTGCTGTGCCTCGGTTTCCTCACCTGTGAGAGGGTCGTCACAAGAGTCGAAGCACAGAGTGACCTGTGCTAGACCCTAGTAGTGGGCGCAGCGGGGATTAGATCCTTGTTCTTTGGAGTGGGATGGTGAGGTAGATACGATGTGTATCTCACAGAGTGAAACTGAGTCAGGTGAGACGCAGGTAAGAGCGGCCCCACAGAGAGAAGAGGATGGCGCTGTGGTGAGATGGAGACAAGATGAGTTAGTTATAGAAGGCCCAGGGAGGAAATGGGGGCGGTCCTTGTCCCCATTCCACAGGCGAGGAAACTGAGGCTCGGAGCAAGGAAGGAACTAGGAGCCTGCTCATTAAGTCTGGGGCCGGGGCTCGAAACAAACTTTTGCCATGAACTCAGCATTGATCAAGGAGGGAGCAGAACCCAGGGAACCCAGGGAAAAGGCGAACAGCTCCCTTGCCTGTGATGCTACAGTCAGCCCTGCTTGCTACTCTCACTGGCCTCATCCGGGCCGCTCATGCAGGCGGGGGCCATTTGCTAGAGGGGCGGCCCAGCCAGAGTGGCAGAGGCAATAGTGACAAATGAACACCAGGGTCCCCAGCCTGCAGTGACCAGGATGAAAGTGTTGCGCCCTTTGTCAGATGGAAAAGCTGATTTCAGGACGGCTAGAGGCGGCAGGGAGCCAAACTCAGCATCCAGACTGATCAGGCAACGGTTTTGCTCTGGCTGCTGCCCTGCTACCCCTGGCTTGGGCTTTAGGTGTGTTCACAGACTGAGGCCTCAGAGATGTTGTCATACCTTTCCTGCCTCCATGAGTGCAGATTAGGCACCTCACACCTCCCCTCTGTCTTGTTCATGCACCAGCAGGTATCACATGGGGTGTGGGATCTGGGACTGGGGTGCAGTGGGGAAGAATCTAAGCCTGCCCTTAGCACTGGGAATTGAAAGGCTCAAAAACCTGTTTGGGGGTGTGAATGGCAGCTGTCCTAACAGCAGGGCCCCCAGGACCACACATTGCTGCCCACTGCCCATTGGTACCCTGCTGCCTCCCCCAACCCCAACCTCTGCCAGCTGGGCCTGGGTTGTCACTGAATGGTCCTCTTTGCCTCCCTGGCCCCACCCTGGCTGAGCATCGGGCCACACAGAACGATGATGAGATGATGAGGGATGAATCACCCCGAGCAGGGAGGGTAGGGGAGGGAATGAGGTTTAGCCTGAGCAGAGATGCAAGGTCTGGATCTGGTCAGGGAAACCGAGGCTACAACAGGCCCCTTACCAAAGACTTCAACAACACGACCTAGAACCCTGACTTCAAGTACAAGGCTTATTTATTTATTTATTTATTTATTTTGAGGCAGGAACTCTCTATATAGCTCTGGCTGTCCTGGAACTCAGTACATAGACCAGGCTGGCCTTGAACTCACAGAGACCCGCTTGCCTCTGCTCCTGAGTGTTGGGATTAAAGGTGTGCCCCACCACACACGGCTCTGATTCCGCCTCCATAACTTGCTCACAGCCTTAGCTCTTCTTTCTTCTTCAACTTCCAGGGTCGTCCTGACGGATGGGAGATAGGATGGGGGCTCATCTAAATGTCCCTGGGGAGGGACAGGTTCAGAGTGGAAAGATGACTTTGCCCAAGACCACACAACGAGTTTAGTATTTCCAGGGCAAGAAGCCCTCCAAGAATCACAGGCAGGGATGATCACGCTCCAACCCCAAATCTACCCTGCCTCCCTTCTTCTCCCAGAACTGTATTTGCATGAGTAATCAGACACCTATGGGCCTCCCAGGAGCTTGGAGGCGGAGCATATAGACTTAACAACATAGATGGGAGAATGGGGTTTTATAAGGACTTCCCCCCCTCCAAAGACAGGAAGGTTCACTGACTATTCTAGGTTGGCTTTGAACTCACAGAGATCCACCTGGCTGTACGCCACTGAGCCCAGCTTCCTTAGGGACTTACTCATCTCTCAGAACCTGCAGGGCAGCAGAGCCAGAGCCCTTGACCTGTTGCAGAGCTGAGTCTTCGGACTCTGGCCTCTCTGGAGCTGGGAACCCAAGCCCCATTGCTCTCAATAGAGGTCTATCCCTGGCTGCAGCTGGGAGAAGGATCTGCACCCTAGAGCTGCACCAAGGGGGGCCGGAGGCCACAGCTGACAGAGGATTCCCAAGGTGGAGCCAGACTTGAGTGTAGTCCACGGCCAGGACTCTGGGCCCGGAGCACTGCCATCCCCAGGATGCCAGCTTATGAGCTTCCTGAACTCCAGGAAGAGCATACCCTGCTCCTCACAGTCCAGGGGCATGGCTGGTCCAGAATAGCATCCGTTTCAGCAACAGTGCAGTGACTGTCCCCTGTGTTACTGATACGTGTTCCTGCCTTGGGCTGGGCCTGGATACTCCTTTGGGCCAAGAAGGGTTAAGAGCTTCCAGTGGACCCTCCTCCTAGCTGGGCCCAGCCCAGAGAGTGTTCCTCCAAGGCCATTTCCTGCCTCTGGGCCTGGGCCAGGCCCACAGTGACCACCCCCTGGGTCTGGAAGCCACCGAGGCCACATCTGGTTTGGATTACACCAGCGCTGGTGACGTTGCCTTTTCCTGTCTGAGTCTAGTGGCCTTGAATTCCTCTGGCCACCTTGAACCCGAGCAGGCAGTGGTGGGAAAAGACACAGGCCCTCGCTTGGCCGCCCAGAGGGAGCAAGGCCGCCAGGGTTGTTCTGCGAGGTGGGGGGCTGGTTCCTGCCTGTGAGACAGCTCTGCACCTGCTTCTCTTCCTGCCCCCACCCTTGCCTCAAGAGGAAGCACCTCCTGAACCCTAACATTGTATTGAGAAAATCCATGTGTTAACCATCTAGCATTTCTCAGCTAAGGAAACTGAGGTGCAGGGTTTCCCAGTGGATCTTAGGCTGTGAGTCGAGCACTGTGGGTAAAGTTTCCTTGGGCCAGTTTCCAGGGAGGGCTCACAACCTCTGGGACCCCAGAGGAAGGGTAGGGGCTTGAGGAAGCTGGAAGAAAACTCAGGAGACCACAGGGACAGGAAGAAGTCACCAACCTGACACCTCATCTCTCTAGGAGTGACACTCCTGGTGAGGGCAAATGAACAGGGCTTTCTAGGGGAGTGGGGAGAGTGTGGGGGCGGGGCAGGTGAAGGAAGTACAGAAAGCCTGAAAGCAAACTTACCTGAGCACACTCTAGGAAGGTTTTGCATATGTTGAAGGAAATAATTTTGGGGGACAGGCTGAGCTGGGGTAGTGGAGCCACAGAAGAACTCTGAGCAGAGGAAGAGTATGGTAATATTCACGCGTTAGACTGCTATCCGCCCACAGGCAGCTGAGTAACTGGGAGAGACTGCGGCCAGGGAGAGCAGAGAAGGCTGTTCCCAGTGGCTTTAGCAGAGACAGCAGTGAATCCGGAGAACTCAGACACTCCAAGGGCAGTAATAGACGTGGAGTTCCGGGTTCAAATCTACCTACTTGCTCTCTTTGAGCCTCAGGCTCCTGTCTGTAAAACGGGGTGATGATAAAAGCTACTTCCTAAGGTCAGTGCCAAAATCCAGTGAGATGTCCAGGCAGAGCCTGGCGCAGGTTTCTCAGCCAGTGTCAGACTATTTCAGTGGTTGCAGTTACAAGGGACAGCAGTGACCAGACAAAGTCCCTGGTCTCAGGTAGCTATGAGGGGGCAAAGCACGCTGACCTTAGCCTGCACTGACTGGGGGAGAACGGGACAGTGGTCAGGGAGTGTTTATCTGAGGATGCTTGGTGGGGGCTGGGAGCGAGAAGAGAGCCCTGTGGAGGGTAGTGGAGGGCTGTGCAAGCAGAAGAAAGGGTGGCATGAAAGCTGGGTTCAGTCAGTGAAGGGAGAGACCTCAAATGCACGCCCTTACCTAGAAGCCCTAGGTGGTGCTGAGTGAGGCAGGGAGGCCCTGGGCTCCTTTGGGACAGCCCACTGAGGATGATGAACGGGTAGCCAAGGCGCCACGCACTTGGTGAGCATTCACCATATCCCTACTGTGTCTTAGTCACCTACTGTGAGGTAGAGAGAAGGAAAAGTGAACAGGGGCAGACACAGCCCTTACCCCCAAACCTGTGCTCTAAGGCGAAGAGGCGTAAGTGCAGACCCTACCACTGCGACCGCCTCACAGTGGGGCCGTGTGAAGGCAGCATGACGCTGCAGAAGAGGGAAGGTGAGGTACAGTTAGCTGGACTCAGGCTTTGGGGGCGTCCTTTGGGGTGGTGGGGAGCAATGACAGAAACTGTATGCAGCACGCCACCCTGCAAGGAGGGGACAGTCTTTGGAGAGCAGGCAGCGAGCACAGAGCTCTGGAAGTGGAGCAGCTCAGCGGAGCTGGCAGCCAGCAGGAGGGAGGACCAGCTGCTGCGTTCAGTGTGCTAAGTGACATTGGGCTACCTTGGGACCGGCCCAGAGGACAGTGACCTGGGGGCATCCCTGGCCTTCCTGGCTGAGGAGTGACTAATGGAGCCTCTGGTCTGTTTTTAGCTATGGGGCCACTTCCTTCTGCCTACCAACTCTCTCTGAGTCACCCAGTCAGTTACCAGCAGGGTGAGGACAGAGGCTCAGGAACGCAGAAGAGCCTCCACTGTGTGGCTTTGCTGTGTGTGTACTCAAAGGGTGGGGCTGAGAGACCTGGGCAGAGACTGGGGAGACCTCTGGTGTGGATACTTCTCAATTCTAATTTCATCTCTGTTGATCAAATTACACACGAGGATGCAGATGGGGTCCCACATGCCAGCCCTGGGCATCAAAAACAGCACCCCATTTTACAGAGGAGGAAACTGAGGCTCAGACAAGTACATCCACACAGCAAGAAATCAAAAAGACAGTATTGTTTGGTCCTGCCTCTACATTCTGTCCCCGTCTTCCACAGCAGTTAGACACTATCTTGGCAGGGGATACATCATGGTAAGGGGACATATCAGCCCCCAAAGACAGATTTATTTCACTTAAACTATCATTTATAGTGCAAGTCTGAGCACCCGGCCTAGATTTAAGCACTTTGCAAATGCTAACTTACAGAGTCCTCCCACCAGCCCCCCTGGGGGTGAAGGACAGCATTTGTATCCTTCTGAAGAACAGGGAAAGGAAGTGGCTTTTCTCAGGCCACCCAGCTGCGGCAGCAATGCAGGCAGCCTGGGTTGGGGGGTGATGGGAGCTTGGTCAGGAAAGATATACTGGGCCTGGATTCCTTGGTTCCTGCACTCCCCACAGGCAGATGTGCCAGGCCAACACAACCTCCCTCTGCGTTCTCATCCTTGTGGCAGCTGCAGGAAGCCGCCCTCTGGGGGAGAGGGTCTCTCACCAGCCAAATGCTGTCTGGGGGTGTGGGAAGGCATGAGTAACTTGTAACTCAGGCAGGGGAATGCCTTCAGCAGGGAAGGAAGCAGTGGGCGGGAGGCAGGCCTGTGATAAGCTCAGTGGAGGAGTCTGTGAGGGAGGTGGGCCCTTGGGGATGTGGTGGGGACCCCATCCGTGCCCTTCTGAAGGCAGATGGGCACTCTGACCTTGGACAGCCAGACCAAATGCCCGCAGGTAATGACAGTCCAGTAGGGCAGCTATATTTCGTTGGAACAGGCCCGTTCTGCTTCCTGGAATGCACATACCGCGAGAGGGTCAGCAGTCCCTGTCAACTGCATTCCACAGATCTGAGCTGACGTGATTAAGAACTCTGGAATAGTCTTAAATACTGATTCTACCATTTTAGGGTTTGATTTGGTCTCGGAAGCCAGCCTGCTCTAATTTTCTGAAGAGGAGTAGATGGTCCCCGGAATTGGGCCTGGAGACGGATAAGCCTCCATTGAAGGAGTCCCGGAGGCGTCAGATACCACATCTCTGCCCCTATGAGCTGCATGGGGTGGGTTAAGGAGACACCTCTGCTGTGCCTTGCTGTGTGAATCTGACCATCTGTATCAAGATGTTTTTATCTAGACCTAGATGAGGGCACTTACTGGCTCTACACCCTACCTCCCAATAGGGGCAGTCAGGCAAGAGGCAGAAGCATCTGTAAGCCACAGAAAGAATGTGAGGGCCGGATGCCCAGTGGTAAAGTCCCCACTGGGTACTGAGCAGAGGGTAGTGTGAGATCATGATGTCTAGGCCTCCTGACGAAGGGATGGGGCGTCTCCCAGGCTGTCCACCGGGCCAGATACTCCCCTGAGACTCACACGTCGAATCAGATGACCTATTTCATACCCTCTGGACAAAAAGAGTGAAACCAGGGCCCCGAGGATTGGTCCTGGTCCAAGATTGTATCCCAAGTAGGCTTAGACTAAGGTCCTACTTAGCTATTTGGAAATATCACCATTTCTTGACAGACAAGTAGTCTTGGGGGTTAAGGACAGAGGTGTGGTCATAGCTGAGTTTGACTGTCTCTCCCCCCTATCTTCACCCTCCCCCACATGTTTCCTAAGGACTGGGCATGCAAGACCTCAGCCTGGTTATGAGCTAGCTAATCCCTTGGGTGGAGACCAGTGGCATGGTGGTATGGGCAGTACCAACCAGAGAACCGAAGAGGAACCCAAGTCTCATTGTCACCCCAGCCCAAGCCCTGGAAGGAACAGAGGCTGAACATCCTGGGGAGGCTGGGTGCTTTCCCCAACCCTGCTGGTTTCTCATCTTCCTGCCAGGCTGAGAAGGGACTTGGGGTCACCAGGGCTCCAGAGGAATGCAAAGCAAGGAACAGTGCCCAACCGCGGCCTCCTTCCCTGACCCAGCTGAGAAAGAATCACCACTAGGGACTGTGTCTCCCCAGCATACCTACTCCCACACTCCACACTACTGACGCCACATCACATGAATGAGGGTCCCCTGCCTCTCCTCTGTGTCTGTAGTGAGGAGTCTGCACCCCTCACTACATAGGACCTTGCCTGCTACCTCCCCACCACAACAACCCACTGTTTTGCTGGTTGGAGTACAGCAGGCATGGTTGGGAGGAGAGAAATGGGAGGGGAGAAGGGGGCAGTCTCCTTTGCCCAGCTGATCAGGCATTTTCTCACCTCCTTCTAGTCATACCAAGCTTGCGCCCCTCAGCTCCCCCTCCACCTCAGTTCTGGAGTCTGTGGGAACCAGACAGTTCAGTCAGGCCAGCCAGCAGGACAACTTCCTCTGCAGCCCCAGGGGACCTGTGAAGGGAAGGGGGAGTCACAGAGGCTGAAGTCACTGGATAAGCTGCCCAGGGAAGGACTTGTGGAGGAGACTAGGCCACCTGACTAAGAAAGGGCAGCCACTGGGTGCCACCTTATGGGACATAAGGCCTCGTGGGCTCTCTGTAGAAGACAAAATAGGGCCACACTTTGTCCTCTCTGCCTCAGCCCATACCCAAGGCACAGTAGAGGAGACCAAGACTCAGGAAGCCTTTTGCTTCTGTTCTCTGAAGTGCTGGAGAGACAGTGAGGTCAAAAGTTCTTCTAGAGGGTATATGGGGATAGCCCTCCTTCCTGCTCTGTTCACGGCGAAGCTTGGAGCTCAGTTGCCTCTGCTCAATGTCTAGGACAGTCATGGGTCCCCACCCATGCCCCCACCCTCCAAGAAATATGTTCATGAGATGACTTAAGTGGGTAATGGTCCCTGAGTTTGATCCCTGGGACTGCCACAGTGGGAGCAGAGAATCAACTCCCACAAGTTGCCTCTGAGCCCTGTGTGCACACAAATACTCGCGTGTGTGCGCGCACACACACACACACACACACACACACACACATTGATGTAATATGATGTTGGCAAAAAATAATCAGGGACCCAGGAGAGGTTCCATTACTGTGGAGAGTTCAAATAAAGATCAAGTGCTGCCTTTAAACCCCGGATTCCCTGTCCGCAGGGTGAAGGGTGTCTTAACAGCCCCAGATTCAGAAAGGCTTAATTTCTCCTCTGGGGCCATCCTCTACTGTCCCCAGCCAGCTCTCTGCCCTGTACTTCCCTCAGTTTGTGTCAGAGCCACATAGACCTGGGTACCCTTGCTCCCTGCCAGTCCTTTGCCCTTCTCCTGGAGCTGGGGTGAGTTCTGAGCCTTGGAGTCTGCTATTGGAAATTGGGTTGATATTCCACAGAACCCAGACAAGACGACAGAAACAAGCCTAGGAGGGGATGGCAGCCGGCAAGATAAAGCTTCATAAAGAGAGCATCTAGCTACAGTTCAAGGGCCGAAGGCAGCCTCTTCCGCCAGCCTGGCTTTCCCATACTCTGTGGATCTTGGCTGCTTCTCCCCTCTGCTTGCCCTCATGCCCTACTTTCCCTTCCTGGGAAACTCCCCAAGAAAGTTCCCAGCAGGAGAAAGTCTCAAGCAGAACCTTTCCAGGCAGGTCCCCCTCCCATAGTGCACCCTCCCCCATACCACGTTGCCCACACACCCTTAGCCCCAGCCATTCAGCAGACAGACCTTCACCATTGCACTGGCTTTATTAGCCCTGAGAACCACAGAGAAAGTCTCGAGGGCCCCACTTCCCCTCATCCCAAGTATGTCAGGCGGCCCCGGGGACCTGGCTGACGACTGCTCACTTCTGCCTTCCGTTCCTCACGGTCCTTGGCCTGCCAGGGCTGGGTCCCTGAAGAGTGTCCTAGGTCCTATAGCTAGACTGAATCTGCTGAGAACAGTTGACAGAGGCCCTGCAGAGGGACCCGCGGCAGTCACTCACTCGAAGAAGAACATTCCTGGGGTCCGGTAAAGACAAGGAGGTAGCCCCAGAGGGTACCCAGAACCTCCCTGGATAGGGAAGTTTCCAGCCACCCAGGGTTCCTTGGAGTCAGCTGGCAGGGGCAGTGGGGCCCGGTGAGAGGCTGAAGGAGTCGAAGGTGCGGGGGTGGGAACTGCCGAGGCCAAGAGATGTTCAAGGCCGGGGTCAGTCCCCACACAGAAATTCAGCGCCTGCATCCTGCACTGGTAGCTGCTCCCCATGCCCTCAGGGGCCACACCAGATGTGGAGGCCTTGCTGAGACTCTCCGCTTCAGAGAAGGCAGCAGAAAAGCCGAATGCTGGGCATGGGGAGGGCGAGGTGAGCTCTCTTGGGCCTGCAGATTTGGGTGAGCACATCTCTTTGGGTCCAGTGGGCAACTGGGGCCTGGCATCACTGGTTGCTGGACATACGCTGGCTGGCAAAGACCCCATCAGACCGCCAAAGCTTAGGCCCTTGGGGTTTGGCACCTCTGGTGGGAATGGACACAACTTGCCGGTAGTGGTGTTGGGGGCGCCTGGGTCCGGGCTGGTGGTTCTGAGAGGCCTGGGGTCTGCCTTGATAGGACCCTTGGTGCCCTGGGCACCTGTGCGCTTGGTGAAGCGTCTGCGGCGGCGAAGGAAGCTGCCATGCTGGAACATGTCATGGCAGTCGGGGTCCAGGGTCCAGTAGCTGCCCTTGCCTGGCTTGCGGTCGTCGCGAGGTACCTTGACGAAGCACTCATTGAGGGACAGGTTATGGCGGATGCTGTTCTGCCAGCCTGGCCGGTTGTGCCGGTAAAAGGCGAAGCGGCCCATGATGTAGCCGTAGATGCCACTGAGGGTGGCCCGCTGACCCGGTGAACTCTGGATAGCCATGGCAATCAGGGCTATGTAGCTGTAAGGGGGCTTGGTGGGCTCTGCAGAAGGAGCCACGGGTCCTGACGATGGTGGCTGCTGCATGCTGACTGCAGAGCCAGGCAAAGCGTTCAGGGCTGGCGATCTGCATGGGCTGCCCAAGCCGTTAAAAGACCCACTGGCCCAGCCTCCCAGCCTAGAAAGGCAAAAAGAGGTGGGCCCACCACGCTGCCCTTCCCTCCTCTCTCACCGCCCTTGTCAAGTCTAAGGAGGCGGGCAAGAGAGGCCAGCAGTCGGAAGCTGTGAGCTTCTGCAGGGTGAAGAGGTGGGAGGGCAGAGTCAGGTCTCTGAAACTGAGAGAGACCGGTAGACACACACACACACACACACACACACACACACACACACACACACAGAGAGAGAGAGAGAGAGAGAGAGAGAGAGAGAGAGAGAGAGAGAGAGAGAAACCGAGAAACCAGACCTTTCGGAGAGGGACCATAGCATACAGAGAGACTGCCATCCACAGTAGCTGTAAAGAATGAAGAAAACTGGACACAGACAGAGGGACAGCAGAGACACAGGTGTGAGCAGAGGTGGGGCAGGGGCGAAGGGTGGAATCTAAGCAGTGTTCCTATGGAGTGGGACAAGTCACAGGGGCTTCTCAAGTACCCTAGTTCTGACTTTTCCTCTCCTCTGCCACCTTCTTTCTGCACTGTGGAGTGGAGCCGTTGGAGCCACACTGTTCCAGGTCCTGGTGTTTGGCCTGTGGACTCTGGAGGACTACAAGGACAGTGGGGAGGTTGCTCAGCACAGTTCCCCTGAGCCCTGGCGCCCTCTAGTGACTGGTGTGGGGAGGAGTACCTTCTGGGATGAGCTCTCAACCTCTCATCTCTAAAATGGAACTGCCATGTTGACACTGTCCAGGCGTAGTGAGGATGCAACAGGATTCCTTAGAAGCCACGGCCCTGGGAGAGTGCAGAGGAGGGGCTGGATGTCCCGTGAACTCAGGCTCCCCCAACCCTAGCTTGGAGCTGGGGTACAGCAAGGGTCAGCTTGTTTAGTGGGTCAGTGTTTTCTCTGCCCCTTCCCAAGCCAGCGGCCACCTGCAGTGGGCCTGGAGAGCTTATCCACCCACACCTCACACCTCACACCAAGCCCTCTGCAGAGCGCTTCACTGGTGGGGGTTCTGAAAGTCGCTTCCTGGGGTTGCGCATTTAGTGAATGATAAACCTGGTTTTTAGCTTAGCTGTTATGTAACTCCTTACCGTCGTCACATTTGTGAGGGTCAGGAGTGGGGGCAGTCCTAGGACCTCAGAACCCCAAGAGAGTAAAGACCATGCTCTTTTGGTCTGTCCCCCATATTCAGCACTGGGCACAGCAGCAACTCAATAGACATTCCTGAAATGGCTGGACCAAAAAGATGCAGTGAACTTCGGTCCTTTGCCAAATCACACCATTTTCTCCGCACAGAAGCGGCTCATCGGCTGGGGGTGTAGTTCAGAGGCAGAGCAAACGCTTAGCATGCGCAAGGCCCAGAGTTTGACTCCCAGCACTAAAAAATAAGAAAAAGAAGCAGAGGCACATTGACACATTGTTGAAAGGGATTTATTATATTGGCATCCATAATCAGAATCCGATAAGTCACCTCACTCACAAGGCAGGGGGAGGACAAAGAGGACATGGTGCTTGCTGAAAGGTTCCCCTGTCCTCAGAAGTCTAGCAATCTGTAAAGAACAGTGGGTCTGGGAAGAAGCCGGCCTATGGTTTTGGATTTTGCCTTAAAGCTGTGTTAATTTTTCCAAAGACAAGAGTTACACAGATACTGGTGTTTTAGCTACTGGTGTCCAAAGCACAGGATTTAAGTCAAGTGTTCTGTTTTGGGACTACCACCCAGTCCCCCTAAAATAGAAATGATGGGTGGGACAAAGGGCCCGAAACCCAGAGCACCGGGACTGTGGCTGTAGGAATCTCCTCCTCCTCCTTCTGGTTTTCCAAGCCAGGGTTTCTCTATGTAGCCCTGACTGTCCTGGAACTCACTTTGTAGACCAGGCTAGCCTCAAACTCACAGAGATTCGCCTACCTTTGCCTCCTGAGGGCTGGGATTAAAGGTGTGCGCCCAGCAAGGGCTCCTTTGCTTTTGGTTGGCCCTACACTAAACAGTTCTTCGGGGCTAATCTCTGGGAAGCAGTGCTTTAAAGCAGACCAGAAGAGCTTTATGGCAGGGTGAGTCTGGCTCTAAGGCATGAGCTGTAGTCATGTAGACATGCTGGACAAGTCATTTTGTCCTATATCTGCCTCAAATTCAAGGGGCCTCCAAATCAAGTTCTGGCTGACCTCTATGCCCAGCTGCCAGAGCTGCACAACAAGGCTCTCTCACCTTGGGGTAGAGGGCTGAAGATCTTGAACTTTGCTGTCCAGTGACCTAGGCAGAGAGCCCTACTGGTTCAGGGAGGGCAGGGTTGAGGGTGAGCCACTCACACCCCGGGTGGACTGCTTTTAGTAGTTGTGAGGGAGGGAGCATCCAATTTAAGAGTCATTCTGCTGTGTCACAAGATGGGGGGATGCCGCTAGGGGCGCTGGGGGTGCTGGGCTGGGGATCTTGTGAGGCCTCAAGGTACAGACGCTTCCAGGGCAGGAGGAGCTGGTGAGCCAAAGACTGGCTCCACCTGGGGCAGCATCTGGGTGGGAGTCAAGTGCATTTGTGAGTCACACAGACCAGATAGTTGTATAGACTTGGGGGGGCTGTGGATAAGGGGGAGCTCGGTCTCGGGAGCATCAGTGAGAGGCCATTTGGAAGGGGTTGGAGAGAGGGGGTGACTCACACAAGCCGTGATGAGCCTCTCCTCTAGCTGGTCTGGAGGACCTGGGTACCCTCACCAAAACACAGGCTGATCTGGTATTTAGGCTTGGGTTGGCCGTCCTATCGGTGCGCTCACAGCTCTACAGGGGCAGAGACTATGAGAGCGGGAACGAGAATTTTGCATGCCACGTGGTGCCCACTTTGTGTTCATATCCAACACCTACATTCCCTGTGCGCCTATGCCCTGTGTCCACTTCCATGCCCCATTCCCATCTACTCCAGGATTGTCTACCCCATGCTCCAGTGTCTATGTCCCTTGCCTCCTACCCCTATATGATCACTTCATGCCTTTGTGCCCATCCCTTGCCCATTGCTATTCGCCGATGCCTGTCTTGTGCCCACTGTCCCTAATGCCCACTTTAAACACCTGCCCAAGTCCTGTGCCCTGTCTCACCTCCAAAGGTGCCGCCTATAGGCCTACAGGAATCTGCCCCTGGTCCTGATGCCCACATTCTTTCTCATTCTTGGTGCCTCTGTGTGGTGTCTTGTTTCCCAGCTATGACCACGGGCCATGATCGTGAGTGAGCACTCTTCACTGTCCAGGCCACTGTGCCTGTGCCACACTATGGGCACTTGCCCCATAGGAAGCAACATGTCCAGCAGCTGGCAAATGCACCCATGCTCCAGTTAGACCGTACCAACATGCTGCCTGGGTACAGACGCTGGGCAAACTCATCCTGGGTGCCACCCACAGGAGCACTCCGGGCTCCAAATGTCACAGAAGAGGCTGCAGGCGGAAGAGAATTTGCTTGAAGTTAGCGCACACCCCCAGCAGGTGGCGGCAGCTGTCCCCTCTGGGTCACATCGTAGGAACTTTTGCCACTTTCTCTTTCTCAGTCAGCAACTTTGTTACAGAAGTCTGGCAGTAGGAATCACAATAGATCCCACTGGGAACTCATTTGGTACAGTGTTCCCCTTGTGTGCCTGAGGCCCTGGGTTTCATCCCCAGAACTGCAGACAACCAGGTGAGGTCTCAACTCGACACAAAGAACCACAGGCAACTAAGGAATGCTGAGAGCTGGAGAAATAGTCTTCCCAGGGAAGAGCACACCAATTAATTATCCAAAAAATGCTAAGTCCTGAAAACATATACTTACAAGTATACATTTATAGACCGAGCAAGTTGTACTTACGTATTTAGGAACACACACACCAGCACCACCAGCATAACTGGCACCACCAACACAAGCACCACTACCATCACCAGCACCGGCACCACCACTACCACTAGGACCACCACCAGTACCACCACCACCTCCACCAGCACCACCACCAGCACCAGCACCACCTCCACCAGCCCCATCACCAGCCCCATCACCACCACCACCTCCACCCGCCCCATCACCAGCCCCATCACCACCACCACCTCCACCAGCCCCATCACCAGCCCCATCACCACCACCACCTCCACCAGCCCCATCACCAGCCCCATCACCAGCCCCATCACCACCACCACCTCTACCAGCACCACCACCACCTCCACCAGTAGCACCGCCAGCATCAGCACCACCACCACCAGCAACAACAACAAAGAAAAAGGAGGCCATGAATTTGAAAGAGAACAAGATGGGGTGCGTGGAACTGGGTTTGAAGGGAGGAAAGGGAAGAGGAAAATGATGTAATTATAATTTTTAAAAATCATTAAAAACAATAAGATAAACTTACACGAGAACCAGATATGATGGCACACAGTTGTGATCCCAGTACATGGGAGGTGGAAGCAGGAAGATCAGAAGGTCAAGACTGTCCTCTGCCACCTATCAAGTATAGGCCAGCCTGGGCCGTTCCAGCCCCTCTCTCAACAAACAACCAAAGCCAATAAACTAAATAAACCCCAAATCAAACAACTGTTCTAGTTTAGTGCTAAGGGCATCGGGAGGCCTGACCTGTGGTCTGGGATTCCAGGAGCTTCTTTAAGTAGTGGGGTTTTTTTAAGGTTTATTTTTAATTTATGTTTGTGCATGTGTGCTAAGTCTGTAGGAGATGATAGAGGCCAGAAGAGCCAGTCGCATGCCCTAGAACTAAAGCTACAGGTGGTTGTGAGCCATACCGGATATGGCTGTTGGGTACCAAACTCCTACCCTCTGGAAGAGCCAGAGAGCTGTTTAAGACTGAGCCCTCTCTACAGCCCTACCAGAAGAGGTTGCAATGGCGGCAGACATAGTAATAAGATCAACAATTCTACAGCTCTCTTCCAATAGGAGTGGCAACTCTCCTGAAGGTTCTGGGCTTTTGCACCAGGTCCTCAGAACCTGTGCTCCCCTGCCGCTGGGCAGCTATGACTTGCTAGTAACAAACTGTGTGAGCTCAGGTAAGGGTA